GATGCTTTAACTTACTTTTTTTTTTTTTTTTGGTAGTTGTCTCAAGTTTCCTTTTCGACTTTAGCTCTATATTCAATTGCTAGATCAACTAGCATTCCCGATATTATGCTTGGAATATAACTCGTGAAGAAGCAACCAAGAACATATTGTTTTTTGTGGTCCCTTTACAATGCTGCGCACTGCGACTTTGCTCGACCAGTTTAAAAAGCTTTCTTTTCTTTTGCTTTAAGTTTGTCACTGAACCTTCATTTTTTGTTGGCGAACAGATATCGCAAAGCTTAATCTAGCGGGTTTGGGAATTGTGCCGGAGGAGCTAACTGAGGATAGTTTTGAAACTTGGAAAAATTGCTTGAAAAATTATTTCGTAGGGAATGGGCTTTGGGATGTTGTCTCTGGGGAGACTAAACCAGATAAGAAAAATCACAAAGAGCGTGAAGAATGGAAGAAAAAGAACGCTTTGGCTCTGCATGCAATTCAACTTTCATGTGGATCAGCAATATACTCTAAGTTTAAAGAACACATTTCTGCTCACCATGTATGGACTCATTTGACTGAGAGAGATTGGGGACGTGTGCAACAACCACTGCCAACCTCAGATCAGGACGAAGAAAGTCATGTCGAAGATAATGGTAATGTATCAATCCTTGTGATGCACTAGCTCGTCTAAATCTTGTCATCTTCTAAGAAACATGAAAATGCATTATTGGTTCTCAATTAGTTAAAAATGTGCAGGCAAGTTATCAACCTTTTATTACAGTTTCACAATCAATTCTCAAAGACGGAAACCGTTTAATTCTTTGTTAAATTGTCATGCAAACTTCGGTAGCTATCTATACAATTTAACTCTCAGACATTCTTCCACAAGAACAATGTGGTGGCGCCAATTTTCCCTTTTATTTAATGAACTTTGTATTCGACACAAGCCCCCTCACATACAGGTCAACTTCATTTTTTGAAGGTTCGAGAAAGTACCTTGATTATGAGCTCTTATACAAGGCAGTTGAAGAAGGTAAGTGGCATACTATAGAAGCTATCCTTCACGAGCATCAAGATGCCATTAGGGAAAAAATATCATCACACAAAGATACAGCTCTGCACATTGCAGTTTTGTCTGGACATACTGAAATTGCAGAAAAACTTGTAAAACGGATGGAGCCAGGCGACTTAGAACTGAAAAATGAATTTGGAGCTACTGCTTTATCTCTTGCTGCAATTTGTGGTGCGAAGAAACTGGCCAAGGAAATGGTACGTAAGAACAAAAAATTAGTTACAATACAAACTGCAGATCATGAAGATGGGCATCTTCCTGTGATTGCGGCTGCATTGTATGGACAAAAGGAAATGGTTCGTTATTTATACAAAATGACGCCAAAAGATGAGCTGAGTCCCGAAAAGGGTGAAAATGGAGTC